CCCCCAAAACCCCAAAACCCCAAAACCCCTTTTAGAAGAGGAATTATAGAATAAATAATTACAAAAAGATGTGTAGACAAGTCTTCCTGGCATGAAGGTAATGAGGTGTGTAAGGTTTAGGTTCGTATTTGCGGATAACTTCAAGTTTCAGAAAACTAAGATGGTACTCTAAGAATCATGATATTGGCCCTGGTGTTGTTCCAACTGTTGACAGTTCAGTATTATTTCTCAAAAATTACGCCCAAAGCAACCCAGAGGATTATAAAGTTAATGCTTTTGACAAATTTTGTGTTATGGTTGTTCTCTTTTTATCGTTGAAGTTATGCCCAGGCGGCAACTATTCCTCAATATGCCATGAATCAGGTTGCTCAGGATCAATGGTGTACAAAGAGCAATAGTTGGAAGCCAGAGCGAGCTGATTATTGTGAGGTTTCTCGCAGAGTCATCCTGAAGTACCAAGGCTATAAAACTCTTGTAGCTAACAGTATTGGATTCCATAACGAAAAGTTCTTCTTCCTAACCTGAGCTTATGGCGGTGTGCTTTCAGTGCTATATCTAGAATCAGCTCTGAGATATTATTTGTCAACAAGCCAGTTTGGCCTATTCGATATTATACAAGTAAGATTTTCCCTATAAAAACTTATAGGCTCACATAGGTATACTGAGCATCTTGCTGATGATATACTACATCTCTTCACTGACAACAATGTTCCTTAGATTTTGGAATAATGTCACTGGAAAAGGTAAACAATTTAACTATACTAACATCATGGGTATTTCAATTTCCCCAAATCATTCTTTTAATCAGATTTCTGCCGCTTTAAATTTAGTAGAAAACTTTATCTTCATTAAACCAACACGAAAATACTCAAAAGGACTTAAAATAGAGGCCATAGTTCTGTTAGAATTTGGGAATAGATAAAAACTAATTGGGGTTATACATACCTCTAGGTAGCCTCTCTGGTAGATTTATTAACTTGGAAGACAAAACACCTATCGAGGGACCAATTAAAGGCTACAAAACTCACAAAGATTATTCAGCTAGTACTAGAGTTTGAATTAGGGATGAGAGCTTAGTTGCATTTGATCACAATACCATATTAAGAAAGTAGCATGGATTTTATTTAACAAAAATTTAACTATAAACATTTTGATAGAGAAAGAAAAAGGATTTCCTATGAAATTTCCTGGTTGTCCGAGAAACTTAGAGAAGTTAGAAAATATTCAGAAGCACAGGAATCCTTATGACAGATTATGGCTGACTAATCTTTGTGATATATTTGGGTAAGACAGACTAATATTAAACTCTTTAGCTCCTCATTCTGGATATGGCCATTACCAATCAGACCATCTCTGTTTGGAAACGGATTTTGTTACCCCAAAATCCCAGAACTTAACCTCAGAGATATTATCGAAGCAGAAGAGAGCAACAAAGTTGGCGAAACAATAGCTGAGATAGAAGGAGACGAAAGCTACGATGACTTAAAGGAGTATTATGATGACCTAGGCATCTTTTATAGTGGTAAACACCTGTTCTTCTACACCATGAGATTTGATATGTAAAAATAACCCAATTTTTTATTATTAAAATGGGGTTTTGGGGTTTTGGGGTTTTGGGGTTTTGGGGTTTTGGGGTTTTGGGGTTTTGGGGTTTTGGGG